CAAGTAAATTGTTCTTTTGCCTCCAGAGATGGTAAACTACTACTTGAGCAACAACTTTCCGGAGAAGTTTCGGTCCATGAGGATGTGACTGTTTGATCCAAGATAATAACTCATTCTAACTGGTGAAAAGGTGTTGATTTGAAGAGACTAACCCGAATCTAAATAATGGACGAGAAAGCACAAGACAACATTAGATGGTCTCTGGATTCCAGCCAAGCTGAACAAAGACATCAATCAGAGATGGTAACAAATCCCCAAGCCTGAAGTCTTTGTCTTGTTGGGAGCATGTCTAGGTTTGTAACCCACGTGTTGAAGGCATGATTCGGAACATCACCCTTGTACTAGACCAAATCGAACCACGTTTTCTCTTCCTCCCTTGGTCTTAGTGCTTTCCAAGCTTGAGGAGTAGAAAAACCATTGCAGTCAATACCATTTACTGCGCAGAGCCTTTTGTCTTCCACAACAGTCTCAGAAGGCAACATAACTCTCGTAAGATGTAGATGCAGAGACATAGCCTCATCAGATCTATCAACTCTCAGCTTCCAACTATTTCCATCACAAGCCTAAGCCACACTTGTAGTTAACGGAATGCTTGTTTCCCTTGGCCCATTTTGACTCATCAGATTGATCAAAGGTCCAAGGGGTAACCAATGATCACAAATCATAGATTGCCTACGAGGAAAAAAAATCTCCACTAAAAACTTTACCCAAAAAACTAAACCCAATGAAGAGAATCACAAAGTAAACCCAATAAAGAGAATCACAATAACTCATAAAAGTTAGACTGCGAATAACATTGCATCGTCTTCTGACCAAAAACTCCTAGGCATCCCTTACACTTCATGTCGAGCATAGAAACTCCATTAGTTTACAATCCTCATGCCAACAAAAACACCAGATATCAGAGAAGGAGAAAACTCAAATCACATTTTTTCTCTTTTTTTTCTTCTAACGGATGGTTAACATACTTATTTTATCAACAAATTTCAAAGAAAACTCAAATTTTGGACATATATATTAGAGTGATAGACTTATTAGTAGTAGTGGTAGAGTTAATTTTGTGATCGGTAGACTTATTGATGYTTCMCGRKATSGTAGACTTATTTACAGTAATGGTATATTTATTTTTGAGTGACTTATTAGTAGTTGTGGAAGAGTTATTTTGTGATCGGTAGACTTATTGATGGTTCGCGCAATCGTAGACTTATTTATACTAGTGGTAGAGTTATAATATGTGGTAGACTTATTTATTATAATGGTAGATTTATTCAATCTTTTCACTTATTTACTAAAACAACCTTACACTTGTTTATAGTAGTGGTAGATTTATTTATAGTAGTGGTAGATTTATAATATGTGGTAGACATATTTATAGTCGTTGTAGTGGTAGATTTATAATATATGGTAGACTTATTTATAGTAGTGGTAGATTTATTCAATAAAAGATAAAATCGTAATATACCTTTCATTTTCTCCACGAAAAACCAAGCTTTTCTCAAACCCTAACAATGGCGGCCAACTATTTTTTAGCTCGTTTTTACTGTATTTTAACTCGTTTTCAACTAGATTTTGCCTAAAACTAGTAGATCTAACATCATATATCTTTTTTCTAACAAAAAATCAAAA